TTAGTATATACGTGTTCTATTTAGTGCAGTAGATATAAAAAAAATATTGGTAATGAAGTACCTATTGAATATAGCGGTTTCCTTGTAAAATTTCGAGGTAAGTTTGTGTTTTTTTTTCTATCGTGAAAATATTTAGGAATCGTTTTTTCACACCGATACTAATCAATTTTTAATTATGAAAATTAGATACTTTATTTACAGTCTGGAAAATAGAGATCAGTTTCGACTCAGCTCTCGTGTTTGATTCAATCCTTGCACCCTGTACTTTGACATTGATACGGACGGAAAATTCAGTCTACATGGAGCCAACTAAGGATTATTTTTGCCTACGCAATATAATTACGCTAATAAGCAGATCAAAATATTAGTTGATTAATTTACGAAGGTATAAAATCGCTTGGCTGGGTATATTTGATACACGTCTATTTTATACCTATAATGATGCCTATGTGTACAAATTTAGATACTTTATTTGACAGCTCGTTTCCACCGAGGTCTCTTGTTTCATTTGCCTTTATTATTAACTCTCTTTTCTTGGATGTTCCAGGTAAACTTAACTAGGAAATTTTAAATCTTTCAGAATTAAAACGGATTTTCTACTTAAAACCTCAGATTACAAAGTTAAACATAAATCGATTACTGGCTTAAATTGTCACGTAACCCGTGTACAGCAGTGGCACATATACATATGTTTAGTTTGTTACAGAAAATAATGGAAGAAGGTCGCAAGTGCGACGGCAGTCAAAATTGCTATACTCCATCAACCCATTTTTGTCACCTGCCTGTGCTGAGGAATTATTATCATCAATACGAAAACCTAACAATTCGATATCTATATATTTTAACTTAACATTCGGATTTCCCAGTGCACGTATCCGCGGATCATTGAACCCTCAAATTAAAAAATACATTATCTGGTACAAAGATAGTACAGGTGACATTCATGCGACCTCAAAACTTATTTTCACTGGACAAGAAAGGTTAATCAATCGATTTCAAGGCATTATCGACAGCTATTTAGATAATCACGTATTTAATTAGATAAACGACGTATATACCTGGGCATTTCACTTTTAATACAATATTAATGCGGTTTCTAATAAGTTATTATGTTAGCTACTTTAAGTTTCAATGGAACATTGATGTGAGTGTGCAACAAAAGAAATGCATATCGTTTAGTTCAGTGCGTACAGTAGACAACCGAGGGAGATATCTTAAATTAGACACTTTACCATAATTAACGTTCAACACGCGGTGTTCAAATTGTATTTTTAGCTATAAGTGTATTTTTATATTGCTAATAGGCAAGCGCTGGAGACCACAAGCTCATCTGCGTAAGTGTCTATGTAATCGTCATCGAAATGTGTATTGTTTACTTTATAAATCATCAAAAACTAGTTTCGAACTAAACCATCATTTATTTTATCCAGCTCAAGGTTTGATTCATGAATTTCAAAGTTCTTACATTTGCGAAATAGAAAGTAGCGAACGCGTTTTGTCAATCTCCCGTTATCCCGTGAGAAATTGCCTTGTGAAAACATTTGAGAAAGGAAGTATTAAATTGGAGAAATACTAAGCTAATTTATAAGAGTTTATTTCATCGAATACTATGGTTAGGCATTTGTTTTATTTATTTTGAATAGCAAATATCTATAACGGAATTTATCAATGTATGAGCGGAACGTAAAATTTTAAACAAATCGCTTGTTTTATTTGCCATTAGCATGGAAGCCAAGAAAACTCAAAGAATGAACACAGGCCGGTGTCGACACGGCGCGCTTCCGAACACTTTCGCCTCGCCTCGGATGACTTCGCGCATCTTCGGCCGCCACAGCTGACTTGCCCGTTGTCAGAAAGAGAAATAAGTACAAATTTTTCCCGTGCGCGAAAGGGACAACAATCTGCGCAAGTCACAGCGCCGCCATTCGGCCATTTATTTCTTTCGAGTGATCGCCACGGTCGGAGTGACAACGTATTTCACGAGCGCCGAGCTTATAATTTTTACTTGTGGAATTTATACAAATAAAATTTTATGCAAACGTTCTTCAGTTGCAAAGTGAATTGAGTGATATTTCAACTATGGTGACAGGCCTGAGGCGTTGAAGGAGCGAACGCCACGAATGAAAATATGGCTGGCATTTTAGCATCTGTTGTCAACACAGAATACCGTGTATTATGCAAGTTGGAGTAAAATGTGAACGAGTGTTAGGTAAATGTATATTCTATCGATAAAATATTTGGGTAGTGATCGTGTGAAAGTGGAATTTGGTGTCATTAGTGATAAAAAGTTGGAATGTTCTGTGGCGGAGCGTGAAGAAAGGAGCACACAGGAGGTATCAGTTTAATTATTAGATTGCAACTCGGAGTTGCAATACGAGTCGGTGCTGCCTGAGCTCTGACTGACTCTTTCAACACACGGCTACGCAAATTAATGAAACAGTACTGAAATGTAATGAAAAGTTAGTGCAACGTTAGGGACAATGAAACAAGTATTTATGAATTAAACTTTGAAGTATTTGCTGTTGTTGCACAAAAATGAGAACTTTAACTCGAAAGTTGACAGAAAAACCTAACATTGTATTAAATAGTGAAATATGTATGTATCTACATAAGGAAATAGGGAATACACTTGTCAGACAAAGTGCCATATAGGGCAAGAAAATTAAAAGATGATAATGCATAGCAGGTACCACTTAAAACTCTCTTGTAGCCTGAGCATTTTTATTTGCATGCTAATGTTATTTTACTTCAAACACCCATTTGTTTCATCAACATACCTAATAAATAACCATTTTCTTTATACATAAAGTGCACATTACTCATCATATATTATTGAAATACATTTTGAATGTATATGTTTGTTGTTGCAGCTAATAAGAATATGACGGTTGTAATATAATGCAGTGGCTGCACAAAATATTGGCGCTGGCAGTAATTTGCGCAGCAGGGCGGGCGGAGCGGTGCCCCTCCACCTGCGTCTGCACAAGCACCAGGTTGGAGTGCTCCCAACGCACCCTGCCCAACAACAACCTCACCAGGGCAATCATCGGCCTGGACAACAACACCACAACATTCATTTGGACCTACTCGAAAATCAGTTCCATAGAAAAGAATTTATTCAGCCACTTTAGGCACTTGGAGAGTATTGATCTGAGCGGAAACGAAATCAAGACTACTAAAGATGATCCGTTTGATAGACTGACCCAGCTTGTACATTTAAACATATCCAGAAATGCAATTGTAGATCTACCGAGAGTCACATTTGTGTCTCTGAGAAATCTGATAGTTCTCGATGTCTCTCATAATTTACTTACAGTAATCCCCTTCCAATTGTTTAGACAAATGAGTAAACTAGAGTACTTGGATTTATCACATAATAGTATAGCTACATTCATAGACTACTACTTTAATCCTAATAGACAATTAAAATCACTGTTCCTAAATAATAATAAACTAGTCAAAATTACATCTAATGCTCTAGTCAATTTAACAGAATTGCAAACATTGGATTTATCTCACAACAGTTTAGACTATATTCCAAAAGGTATATTTGACATCTTTGAAAAGTTAGAAATGTTAAATCTGGGCTACAGCAATTTTCGAAACATATCACAAGATGCTTTTAAGAATCTTAAAAATTTAAATGTGTTAAACATGGGTGGCAACAAGCTTGTAAGGCTGCCGTCAATGCTTTTCATGCATACCGAGAACCTGCGAACACTCTACCTTGAACACACAGAAATAACTGTTATAGAGAATACAAATTTCAAAGGATTACACAATCTTCAAATACTGTACCTGAGGAATAACACTCATCTTCGTGATATAGAACCTTTCGTATTTGAAGACACACCCGCGATAGTGCACCTAGATATCAGTGCAAACGCCCTCACTATCTTACCAAGTTCTCTTGAATCATTGCACAAATTACAAGAGCTGAATATAGTGAACAACGAGTGGGATTGCGATTGTCGAATGACGTGGTTTGCCACTTGGCTGCTGAAGAGCAACGTAACTGTAAAGTCTGAACTAAGCTGTGGAAAGGGCTATCCGAACGATATGTTACTTACTTTAAATCACACAGCAAAGTATTGCACCGAGCCTAGAGTGGTATTTAAGACTCCACTGACCCTGAGGCGGCTGCAGACTGATGTGTTACTAGAATGCAGTTTCGAAGGCAACCCTCCGCCTTCTATAACTTGGATCACGCCTATAAGAGCGGTGTATCATTGGAATCCAGAGCAGTCGAAACCTGATATATTCCACAAACACGGAGTGGCTCACGACGAGTATTACAATCATATCGACAATTCAAAGTCAAGAGTGAGAGTGCTTGAAAATGGATCATTATTTGTAGGAGATATTCACAGAGAAGATAGCGGTGTTTATTTTTGCATCGCGACCAACCCGTCAGCCAATTTGACCGAACAGGTCGTGTTGAACATAGACCCGATTACAATGTACGAAATAAAAATCTATAGCTTAATATTCGGAGCGCTATGCGCCGCCGCTTTCTTGGCATTAACATTACTGGTGCAAGCTTTACGATACATATTCCATAGGTAAGTCGAAAAAAGCTGTCTTAAATTAGATATATTCTTAAATATGTGTATTTTACTAATAAACGACTATTAATTTTCAGATTCCGTCTTATGGAAACGTGCTGCAGCTGCTGCACTTGCGTGAGCCGCGACGCGCCACGTTCGCGACAGATATATAATATGTTAGATAACATTGAACAATATAAAAGGCAACAACTTGATAAACTTCGAGAAAACTATGCAGTTCAAGTGAGTGTTGATTTTAACGCGCCTCCATTTCTCGCGTAGTGTATATACTAAAGCAGTGTGTTTACAGGTGCACCGGATCAAAGAGAATTGCACGCAACAGATGGATTGGATCCAAAACAGTTACTCGACACAAGCCAGCCATCTACGTAACATAAGGGATATAGGATCTAATCATTTGTCTTCCATGAAAGATAATTATTATGACCAGGTAATTGTAACGAAAATATTTGTTCCAAAATTGTGTCGCATCTCGTATCCGTACTAATTCACTATTATTCGCTTTGCAGGTGAAACGCGTCCGAGACTACTCCACAGCGCAGCTCAACTGGGTGCGAGAGAACTACGTGTTCCAAAGGAACAAGATACGGAAGTTCAGCGCCCATCAAATCTTGAGGCTCCGCGAGTCGTACAAGTACCAGCAGCAGACTCTAAACAAGGTGCTAGAGAATCTCCCGAGCCTGTACTTCGAGAACTGCCGGAGCGGGTCGTGCGGCCGCAGCGACTCGACCGCCTTCGACCCCGACGTCGAGGTGGTGGACATGTACCTGAAGTCGAAGATCGAGATGCTGGCGCACCTGCCGCACCCCGTGTTCGACGAGGAGAGCAAGATGTCCGTGTACTACACGCCGACGGAGCGGTCGCTGACGTCGCGGCGGAACTCGCCGGTGCCGCTGCCGGAGGGGATCCACATCAACATGATCGAGCGCGGGCCGCCGCCCGTGCCGGACGGGCTCCGGCTGCAGCTGCTCGAGCGCGCGCCGCCGCTGCTGCCCGACGGGATCCACATCAACGTGATCGAGCGCGAGCCGCCGCCGCCCGAGGGCATCCACATCGACGTGACGGAGCCGGGCCCGTCGCGCGGCCGGCGCCGCGGCGAGGCGGGCCCGGGCTGGCCGGCCAGCGAGCCGCTGCTGGGCCGCGAGTCGCGGCGGCGCCTGCCCGCGTCGGCGTCGTCGCCCGAGCTGGAGCGCGAGCGCCTGCACGCGGCGGCGCGCGTGCTGCTGGCCGTGGAGCTGGCCCAGCCGCCGTCGTAGTACCGGCTGCGGCCGCGCGTCTTCGAGGTGTACGCCGCGCCGCGCCGCCGGCGCCCGCCGCCCGCCTTCGTCTAGGCCGGCCACTCCCGACCACTCCCGGCCACTCCCGGCCACTCCCGGCACGACACGCGGACACGCGGACTTCAAGTGAGCTGTGATAGTCTAGATTCCTTCGCGCCGTCTCTAGTGTAGGTTTAAGCGGTACACCGGGGCGATCGCGCCGATCGCCGTAGTGAATTAGTGCGGTTAAGAGTTCTGTGGGTGTCGTTCTCTGTAAATAATGTCCGATTCGTTTCAATCGTTTTCCATTTTGATGTATTTTTAGGGTAAACCGTTAGAACATTACGCATTTTGTATCGGTCGAATAGACGTAGAGTAAGGTGAGGCGTGAGGAAGTTGTTACTGTTTGTTGTAATTGTTGCGAGGTTCTGGTGCGTGGTGTATCCGCGGGGCCGGGCGAAGCTCCCGTTTCACGCGTCTGTCCTCTAGTTGATCTCAGTCCTCCCCTTCCGACGTACCCGAGCGGTCGTAGACGTTCCCCGCGTTGTTCTCTAGCTCTTGAATATAATTAAATTTTAACGTAATAGATCGTACCTTCTATCTCGTTAGCGATATTATATTACATTACATTATGTGAATGCAGATCGTAACGAAATGAGTCTTGCAGTGATATGCCAAATACTACAATCCAGCAATGATTATTATATGACGTTTCTTAATATAAAGTATACAAATATTGTTGAACTTTTTCTAAATATATAATATAACAAGAGTAAACGGCTAATCATGAAGAATAAATTATTTTTCAATTTAATTTTTTGGTTTTATTTCGACAAATGCACAAATTCAAAAATTCTTAGGATGGCTTGAAGTCATAGTCTAAACTAGCCGTATCACGTAGGTTTCGCGGTTAATATAATGCGGCTTATATAAATAAAACACTCATCTAATGTGAGAACAATTTATTACAATCACACGAGCATTGAACAATAACAATGAAACAGTGTGTTTATTGTATGCCGTATCACGCCATTCCTCTAAAGGTTACAACCCTTGCAGACACGATGCTGTTACCAAAGTCAAGTTAGAAGTAAATACATGTCTAATTACTACACGTTATCGTTAATTCAAGTCCTCAAGTAATTGTATAATTCTTGTTAAACAAATTCGAACGCAATTATGAACTTCTTAATAAGTTGATTATATATAATATTTATAGTTTAATGTTGGATTTAAGCTATACAAATAACTAGTAAATGGTCTAGGAGAGAATAGTTTTAATTCACCGCGCTGGTCCAATGCGGGTTGGGGGAGTTATCTAACGAAGAATTTTAGAAAGTACTCTAACGTGCAACTGGTTTTCGCTTTGTGTTTGCGTATGTCACAACATACGATTATCAGCGATTTCCTCCAAAAAGGAGCAGACATACTTTAATCTCCATCAAGTGCGAGCGCACTCGTGGATGACGGTACTACTGAGCTCTGTGGCGACTGTCTGAGACCAATTGCCTTGGACTCGGTGGCGCGAAAAACAAAGAAACTTATAGCGAGCACCGCAGAAAAATGGCTTGCTTGTCGGTACTCCATGGGACATATTTGGGAAAGTGCGCAGGACCTTTACAATTTAGTTCTAAACACACCGTTCCTCCTACAATCGACTTGAAAGTTCGGAACTGTTTGAACATGAGTCAGTACTCATCAAAGGAATGGAGTACACTACATCTATTTCCCAAGAAAAGTACGAAAAAAAAAACAAATTTAGGACATTTAAGGCAAGAGTAAATAGGCATATCTTAGACAAACACGTATCTGAACAATATTAAGTGCGTGTGTACTTAATATCATCTCATTTTATGAGGACCACACAAATGAATATTCAAAGTATTTTTTATATATAAAAAATAAATGCGCATTTGACCTCCATCTCACCTAATGGAAAGTGACGCTGAGGTCGAGGATGTAGCATGCACACCTAACTTGGCTTACTAACTCTTGACTAGGGGGTACTTTAGATGATAGATTCGTATAGTATGACACAAATACAGATTGAATACAAAATAAAACATTTATTGTCATAGCAGGTCAATGGCGCTGACTCAGCATATGCCTAACTTCCCTAAGGCGCTGGTTTTCAGTCAGAACCAACGAGAAGTACTAAATCTAGAAGTTGCTTGTAATGAAAGATCTTATAAACGACTAGAATGGAAATCGTTCATTAAAATAATAAATGCAATAAAGTTTAAATGTAAAAACTTTCGCATAATAAATCAAATCAAACCAATATTTAACAAAGCTGAGTTTTATAGTCAGTGGTTTGTGTTAGTGCAATCGCGCAATCTCTTGAACGATATTGTACATGGCATTTAAAGTTTGTCGTATGTTGTGAACTTCTCCTTGTTAAAAGTTGAATTAAGTTTGTGACAGACTGCGGGTAAAGTTACCTCTATATCGCCGTTATTAACTTACATGTACTTAAAAAGTACAGTCACGGGCATTAATATATGCACCAATGGCGAAAGATGAATATTTAAAACGATAAGGCAATGTAGGAGGTATACGGCAAATGTCTTCAGTTTATGTCTAATTAGAAATTAAGTTAAACTACTATAAATTACAAATAATAATACGTCGCACAAGAAACCAAATACTGTCGTAACTAAAAAGGTGGAATTAAGAAAAAATTATATAAATAAAAATAATTCCATTGTGTGCAACAAGATTCATTCAGTTTTTTAATGTTTTCGTGTACGGGATGATTGTGTGTGTGTGTGTGGTATTTTTTTTTGAACGTGGCCGGCTGTAGCAGAATATCAAACGCGCTGCAAGCACGCCCGCCATTTTGCTGAGCTATACTACTTTTTCACTCCTAACACGATTGTCTGATACTAGACTCTATGTAATTGATATTTATTTATCAATGTCTTCAAATATATAAATGATTTTATTATTATTATAATGTTAACTGCTATTTTAATTCTGACTGTACTTTATGATCAAAAATTCGGCTCTTTGGTCCAATTAACCGTGTCATCAAACACCTTTAATTAAACTGAAAAATTGAGGTTAATGGAAGACTTGATGAAAGAAGTAAAATAGCAAAAGTTTATTTCACACCATGTAAAAGGACACCGGTAGACGCCGCCGGCGCCGGTGGCGATTTCCTACACGTCGGATTTAGTTACAGGCCTCACGCATGCGCTTTGTAATATCTGTTTTAAGATTTACATAGCTATAAAAGCTATAAAATACAATATAAATATAATATAGCTATAAAAGTATATCTTGAGGGTACCTTAGGTATGTTAAATAATTGTAACGAGGATCATGATACAATTTGATTTTTTTTCCTTCGGGTTAAAGGGGTTTTAAATAATATTTTTAGATAATATTATTTCTAACAGTACATATACATGAATAAATATCGCACCCTCAATAGTAAAACTGCCTAAATTAAAAAAAGTAATTTTTGGGAAGCACAAACTAGATTTATAAAAAAAATACGTGGCACCAGCCATATATGCCCATTAAACTAGTGCCAAATATGACGAAATTCTATTTGATATAAAAACGATATGGTTGTTTTATTTCGTACGTTATTATTTGTGTATTTTGCTAGTTTCTTAAAAATATTACTCTATGGATTGCATTACTTTATTACTGACTGTGCCATATTGTGTTCATTGGCACAAATTACTTCACGTGTTTAATGTTCTTTTTTTTTCTTTTAGTTTCATGCATTACTATCCTACTACAGGGGGCAAAAGCCTTCCTACCCTTCCCCTACTCTTCGCGATTATATTCTAATGCTGTATATTATGACGTAAACAATAAATTTTCGTCAAACTAAGTTAAGATCATTAGTGTAACAAGTACGACACGGCATAACTGATCAGTCATTAACCGAACGTCGATAATAGTTCAAGAGCTTGCCATCAAAACAGTATTTAACTAACTAATGAGAATAACAATCAAAAGAAAACATACAAACTGCTAACTTAACGAACACCGATAACAAAGCACAAATTCGTAGAATCACAGATTACTCAGAAATAACTACCTCCAAAATGTAACTCTACGTGAACCTAACCATAACTGTATGTGAAATGCACTAAACAAAAATCCTATCAAAACCTAAAACACTAGTAAACCCAGGTTTTGCGAATTCAGAACAAAAACTTCGCTAGAACAAAATAATTTACAGGTATCAACTAATCATCATAATCACTTAGTATAAAAATACGATATTTTGTTTAACCCGTCACTCGTCCTAAGGACACGGTGTCCCTAAGGATTAATGTAAAAAAATATATTTTAAGTTTATTGAATGTCAGGATGTTTCACTATGATATTAAATTATTTTTTGTGAAATTACTCCACTATACTCCAGCCAAATTCGATGTAGAATAAATGTCAACAAACAAAAACACACGATTTTTAGGGTTTTCATCTTAGACTGTTTCACAGTTACCACAATTTCAATATTTTCCCTCGAAATTCAACTAGATTATGAAAAATTAAATATAATATTAATTAAATATTTAAATGAAATATAAAAAAAAATTCAACTAAATCTTGAAGTGTTGTTTATAATGAATATTATTCAACAGAAGTTTAAAATCACCTAAAATGAAGTAAAAAATAACCAGTTATTAATTATATGTAAAACTGTGTCATCCCTAGTGACTTTTTGATTTGAAGGGAGAGATTGCAAACATTCGAGTTCTGGTGGTAATTCAAATTTAGAATTGGAAATACCTAGATGCTGGATGATATAATATGTGGTAAATTGATATAAAATAAAATCTTACAATTTTGTTTCTTTTCATCTACCATTATCTAGCTGTACATATTAATAGGATGCAAACACTTATTTTTATTCTTAAATCATATGTCAGTAGGTAATTTGTAAATTTTATAATAATTGGCTAGGTTATAAGTTAATACTTATAATATAATATATAATAGGTAAGTAGGTAATTGGGTTATGTAGAATTACTTCTACATAACCCAATTACCTGCTTACCTATTTAAATTCCAATTAAGGAGCAGGCCGTGGGCAGCGCAAGCCTTAATAATGAGCATTGAAAAAAATGTTCTTTTCCTATGCCATCATTGGTTGCTTAGCAACGTTTTGTTATTAAACATTCTACATCGAATTTGGCTAGAGTATAGTTATAATTATTAATGCAAAGATCGAACACAGAAAAAATGGATTCGAACCAGCGCGTCTCCTAGCAAACCGTTCTAGACGCTATGCCAACTAATCCACGGAACGTACCAGCGGACCTCACGAATTTCCTTATGCGCATGTTGCAGCTTTCTTTTTTATTTTTAACGACATTTTTGCTACTAGGAGGCACTCTCTAGTTCTATCTTTGTATTCATAATTTTGTTTAAAGTGTGGACACCATATTGTATTTTATTGTATTGTATTGTATTGTATTTGTATTGTATTGATTACAGGACGCTACAGTATCAAAATTGTTAGGAACATCGTATGCATTTAGGATGCGTGACGGGTTAAGAAATAACTGTTCACTTTAAAGTTATTTTCTACAAAATTGTAACTTAAATAAGATATGGTACGACCGGTTATTTTTGAACCCTGAATTGGCTCCGATAGTATTAACTAATGTTCACGTTGTAATGTTAATGGCATAAATTAATTGACTAAAATTCTACAGCCTAAATTAACGGTCAGCTTTTTAGTAAATCGAAATTGTGATCGAACGGTTGCGTCTGACGGTCGACAAGGTTCGAATTTCAGTGGTGACATGTGCCTGTGACTTTAATTTCTAAGTTACGTACATTTGTGAATGTGTCGTATACTTCTCGCTAACGGTCAAGCAAAACATCACGAAAAAACTGCATGTCGAGGAAAGTTCAGGATCCTTGGAAAACTTGTGAAGTCTCCAACCGCGACCGCGTTGGGCCAGCAGAGACAAAGTTTGGGTTGATGGGAAATCCAATTTGCCAAGTCCCAATATGGATGGGGGAATAATCACAGCATGATGTCATTAGTAGAAATTCAAGCCTAGGACTTAGGGTTTGATTGAACTATTGATTAATTCTCTTTAATTATAAACACGCGCATAATTTAGTTCATACCTGGATCGTTGCGAATATCTGCATCCGCAGATAATCTGCATAAAGTAAAATCTCCACATCAGCATACGCATTTTTTGATACTGATAAATAAAAGATAAAATCAGCATCCGCTGATGTTAAGGTAAAAAAATCCACACCAGCAAGAACCCTGGTTCACACATTTAAATTCTTTATTTACGACTTTTCACTGTTTTTTATACTTTGAATTTAAGTCCTGCAAAATAGTATCGAACAGTAATTATCCGTGGCAAGAGACCTGGTATCCTATATTTCAAGCTTCTGCTTAGTTTAGGTATCAGTCTCTTGCAAGCATAAGGTAAACATAATTTTTGTTAACGCGATCGCAGCGTGAACCAACGATAAGTGACCTATCTCTGCTTCTGTCTATTTCTTCATCATGTCTTTATACCTATACCAATGTTATTGCATTCATAAATTCAATTAAAATTTTTCTATTGGAACAACAAAACCAAACAAACGGAACGTGCAACAGCGGCTATTTAAAAAATCAACTAAACGACATATAGGAGGTTTGTAACACAATCGACAATCATAGAAAGTTACAACAGCACGAGAACAATAATATCCTAACAATTTACTATTCCCGTAAACAAGATTCCACCTACCTTGGCAGCAGTGCGGTTCCACACGATGACCTTGTGCCCTGAATTGAGTAAATTCTTCACAATGCCAGAGCCCATGATGCCCAGACCGAGGAAACCGAACTTCATCTGACTGGCTTGGATCTTCTTCTCCAGAAGCGTTTCTGACACGTTCTCCAGGTCTAGAGGTGGCGTTTCCTGTCGAGATTTAGCGGTTTTAATAAAATGGTTAAAGAGTATGTACTGTGTACTGCGGTAGGTATCAACCCAGACAGGTATTAGCAAAGGCAGCTATCTCATCGGAAAAGTAGCAGAGTGAAAAGCATTAACAAGGTTGTCTAGCTCTATTTGGTGTAAAAGTCTTACAGATGTAATGGTTTGCGTGTATTTCTAGTGGACTACTTAAGAGTGGTTGTGTGAGTATCGCAATGGGAGAACGATTGCTTTTTTGCAGTTGAGAGCGAAGTCTACGGTTCGAATGAATATACCTATATAACTTTAATTGTAATGTATATAACCATAAATAGAGACGAAATGTCATTTAATGTTTGAAAACTATTCTGCCAAATCATTACTGTAACAACTGCGCTCCGATTGGCCAACCCGAATCCGAAACAATTGACATTAAGTGTTTCATTTCAAATCGACCAGCTTAACTTGAGCTTTGCTATAATAGACGATAACTGCAAAATTACAAATTCAATATTTAATTGCCGATAAAATGTGATTCCGTTTGTTTTGCTTAGATGTTTTGCTGTTTTTACCACACCACCGAATGAAACAGCCCCCGTTGTAACAGATAATATATTTATTACAATAAATACAGAATATAGTTAGCGCTGTACTATTTCAGTTTTCTAATTTGTGATTTCAGCGCAAACGAAAGCTGATATTTAAAAGTGATACAAGACCCATTTGCCTGATGAATGCCAGGAATGGATGGTTATTTCTGGTTGTGTTGTAGGAAACACACCGAGAGCGGGTGAGAGTCGGGTGTCGGGTCCAGTGTGTTGTCGTCCCCATACACGGAAGACCCGCCGCGCTCCCGACCCGAGGCGCACCCAACCCGCACCCGCTTTCAGTATGTTTCACGCTTTATTTCTGTCTTTTATTTGGGGTAGACAGAGACTATAGATCTCCATTTGCTATGATTTTGGAATTGAAAAATACGAAATTAGGTCAATTACAATACACTTGAATAAATACTTACAGGCCGCAAAATATTCGAAGGACGATGCAGTAAACTGGATTTTTTCGAGAAGGAATGATTCAGCATTGACGGTTTTTCCCTCTCCAGGTCCGTGTCAGTGAGGGACCGGGAGAGACTGCTCTTGGCCTTTTTGCGAGGAGTGCCTTTCGTCCCGCCGGAGGAGGACCGCTTTATTGGTTTCACCTTTGAACCCAAACGTATCTATAAATATTGAGAATGGCTGTAGTCGTGTTACTATGGATTATGATTATGCTAGCATGCACACATTGTATTCAGTTTTTTTAACGGCTGAAACGGAAAAGGTGTGGATGATGTCTATTGCACAATCCTCAGCTTTGTGTCAACTTTTTTCGACAATGTAGACTCGAGGTTTTGAAATTTAGTAAGTGGTTTGTTTAAACAAAATATTTAATGTGTTATTGGATTTTTGTCGTTGGTACCTAAGAACTTAAACTTAGTGTTTTTTAATAATGACAAAATTACTATAACTTTAAATTATATGAGACAAACGCAGAAATTTTAACGAAATAATCTCAAATATTCAATGAAAAGTGAAATATGAGTTATTAGAAGATAAATCTGTGTATGTACCTGTGGCGAAAGATATATAAACTGTTGTTGTGTGATATATAAAGTGTTCAAATCAGGGTTGTTGCTGGAGGTCTTCTCTCGTTCTCTGTCCGAAACAATGACTGTCAATTATGTAATACTCGACCAAATTAGGAAATACTGTCAAGTACGAAACTTCATTCGCATCATTCATCTTTTAATTTGGTTGATTATTACTCATTTGACAGTAATTGTATCGGATAGATATCGGACGGAAAACGGGAGTACAGGGCCTGATGCAGGTTTTTTACACATCAGCCGATGTGCATCCTTACTGAATCCATCTACATGAAAAAGCTTTCTATTTCCTTTGGTGTTACAATAAAATATTATTTCAATGATTTTGTGACATTTACTAACAAAAGAATAAATCTGCATGAAGACAATCAATCTCTCTAGTTTAATTATTGTGGAATTTTATCGCGGCTATACTTTAAAAACAACAGCTAAGCTGTTTTTTCGGCTTACAGTCTGTTTCTGGAAGGTTTGTAAATTATTCCAGCATGCCTTTTAGATCATGTCACGACTCGATCATCCGCAATGAAATGCGGTTATTTTAATTGATGCAAATTATCGACGGACGCAGATTCTGATATTCGAAACAACCATGGTTCCAATAACGAGATTCCTAGTAGATGTTAAATGGAAGATGCCTTGCTTTGTAATATTTGATACGGACCTTCTACACCAGCTTATCATCTCCTGTAAATATCCGCGCTTTGTCACAATTACGTACGCTATTTTGGCGATGTAAAACACTAATCTAGTCCCAGATTCGATTGCCGGTAGTGCCAATTTAGGAACCTTTAAAAAGTTTTGATCTAGGTGTTCTGGTTAAGGCTCAATTTATATTGCGGCGGAATGGCATAGAAGCGAATTTTTGTAACGATATTGTACATAACATAATTAACTTTAGGGTTCATTAAGTAACGTACAGGGTCAAGAGCACGTCACGCTTGACACTTAAGATTTAAATCCAACTCTATGCCGCTTACGATAAGAACGGTCCCCAGTACAAAGTGTCAAGCTTGACGAGCTCTTGACTGTACAAACTAGATAGGAGCCAAAATCTTCCGCGGAATTCTTGCGCATGCTCGAGAATGCTCGAGCATTCGCGAGAATTCCGCGGTAGAATTTGGCTCGTATCTAGTTTCTACGTTACACAATTGACCATAAAGTTCAATACTCTATATGAACAATATCGTTCTGCTATGTACAATATCCTTACAAAAATTCTCTTCTATTCCGTTCCGCCGCAATATAAATTGAGCCTAATGGAGTTAATTTTATTATACTGGTGTATCATTCATAGTAGATGGATTTCTCTAGTTTAAAACCAGTAGGGTTAGCATGACAGGGCGCGACATACAAGAGCGAGATATTGCTATTCCAAAACAGAAGTATCTCGCGCATTATGTCGCTCTCGCGTAAGTCGCGCCCTGCCGTGCTAACCCTACAGGTTATTGGTATGATACATTATTATTGATATGAAATCTTTTGCTACCTTTAAATGAACGAAAGTCACAGCTAACAATTTTAGAACGTATCATCTAGCCCACTGTATTCTGAAGGGTAATACAATTATATCAATATGTTCTATTTGAAAGTAATCAATACGTCAGTTTTAGTTTATTAAAGGTTTTTGAATGTTTGTGGCTGTAAGTAGAATTAATTTGTGTAATGAAAAGTCTTGAAATGTACAGGTTATTAAAGAACCGATGCCGTGTAAATACACAGTTGTAGGCTTGCGTGTGTGGTGTGCCAGTACACTGTCGCAACATCAACGTCAGCATTGTGTGACTGAGAAAGATTTACGGTCTCGCTCGCACACGTGAAGTTAGATAGGAGAAAAGTACAGTGTTAATTTCGATGATACTGAATTATGTACATGGTGTATCCCTGTTATGCTCAACAGATAGCGCTAATTACTTTTGTTCCTTTTCTTGGTTTTGTTAGGTATTTGTGCCGCAGCCTGGGGCAAGTTAAAGTAGAAAGCGTTCTGACACCGTTTTGGATGGATCAAGAACGTGAAAGATACAGTAATTTAACTGCCTTTGTGGCCGAACGGTTACCGGTCCCAGGTTTGATACCCGGGCCGAGAGAAATATTTATATGGCCTACATTTATTTCTCTCGTGAGTTTGAGTGTAATTTGTGGTGTCCATGGCATCCAGGACACAGGGTTTCCCTAGTGCGGGGCTATGAGCGTGTACGGGTTACCTATCAGTAGTCCGAAATGACACTTTCCAGAAATAACGTTTGGTCGAAATTTCATAACCTCGAACGTAATTTTGAGAGGAAAATGTTTTTTCTTTTAAACCTAACCGAACCTAACCGTGTCGTTGCAATAAACATTCAACATATCCTGAAAGAACAACAGTTTCGTTATAATTCGGTTTTCGGTGTAATGAAAATTCGAACAAACGTTAATTTGGACAAAATAATTTTCGACATTATGTTAGGTTACCGTGTGTACATTATTACATATCGCTGTCTTTATATAACATTTGTAGAGTACGCTTTTCAACTAAGCATACAGTGGCGTTCAAAGCAATCGAAACTTTGGGTACTTTATTCACGATAAAATTTCGCTTACTCTGCTCGAAGCAGTACGCTTAGTTTAAAACGTAACTGCAATACTGAGTTATTGTATAATAATTATGTGCAAGATAGCCAGAGCAATTACCAGGTTTCAAACCAGAGAATTCCCTGTACTACGAGTACCAGAGCAACGGAATTCACTCCGGGGTCACTATCCAGAACGCCCAGACCACAACAATTTTTTTTTAATATATAACAGACACACGCTTGGCCACAATCTCACCTGATGTTAAGCGACGATGTGACCGACGTTGGGACGCGTTTGTCTAAAAAATGCCTATTCACTCTTGCCTTGAATAGCCCCAAATTGTACTTTTCGGGAAATACAGATTAATTAATTAGTAGAGCATTCGATTCCTTTGCCGTACGCATCATAAAGGAGGAAGCGAAGCGCTTAGTGCGAATTGGTGGAATATCAACGACATAAGAATGGAGTGCTCCGGACCTTCTAGTCGACCGAAGGAGGAACGGTGAGGGCGGAACCAAATTGAAAAGTTCCTGCGCACACTACCCGAAATATATCCGAAGCAGAAAACCGACAAGCAGGCTACTTTCCTGCGATAGTCGAGATTTTGAAGCTTCGACTCCACAAGAGAATGATTGTTAATAAGTCTCTGCTTTTCGCTCCACCGAGTCCAAGGCAGCTAACTGGTAATGGGCAGAGCCGTCCCTCAGCCGTCCGTCAGAGAAATTTAGAAAAGATCATTTCCCAAATTGGTCCTACCGGGAATCGACCCCAGTGCCTCCTCATCCAGCGCCCACAGAGCAAGCCGTTGGGCCAACGAGGTTGCAAAATAAGTAAAAGTATAACGTGTAATAAATAAGCTTATAACATTTGTAATGGACCGTTTACAAGGGGTCAATCGACTAGCCATTACATTAAGCCATTATTGGCATCGTGTAAATAGAGACAATCCATAATGGAGTGGCTCCAGACCAGTGATAAGGACAATCCACTAAATTAGAACGATTTCTAATTTTTCAGGCTCCAGTTGTCTCATTTAATGGCCTTTTATGAACGGGCATCCTGAGCCACACCACATTAGTTTACCTTGCCGTTTAATAAATAATCTTAGAGAAACTTATTGTAACACTGGCTGTAGTGTAGAAGGACTTTGCGAATTTCACACTTATCGCTAGACTGGCTTTGTGGAATGGCTCGTCAATTGGTCCCGTGCAAACGGGCCATAATACAGATTTTAGTGAATATCATGATATGTTACTCCCACGATATTTATTTTTTGTGAAATTACTCCGTTGCTCTATATTGGCATACAAACACAGGTTCGATTGACATATCATTAATACATGGGATGCACTATAAGTTTCCGGAATGAATAAGAAAAAAATACTATAAATGGTCAGAAATTTATTTATGGTTCCTCAAAATATTCTCCGTTAGCGTCAATGCACTTTTTTATACGAATGAACCAATTTTGAAAATTTATGCCACTCCTCCGTGACAATCTCTGAAACGTATTTTTCATACTCTTCGACAGCCTCTTCAGGTGATGAAAATCGTTGACCGCGTAACTGGTTCTCAATTTTTGGAAACAAATAAAAGTCACAGGATGCCAGGTTGGGACTGTACGCCGGATGGCTCATAAGGTCAAGATTGTTTATTTTCAGAAATTCATTTGTCTGTCTGGCCGTGTGAGAGCTGGCATTATCGTGGTGCAAGATGATACGGCGTTTTCGGTTATTTTTACAGAGCTTGTCAATAACTTCCGGCAAACAAATGGTCGTGTACCAATCACTATTCACAGTACAAGGATTCTCCAAAGCAACAGTAACCACGTGTCGAGTTTTATTAAAAAAAGAAGCAATCATCCGCTTAGAGGCACTTTGCACGCGCGCCACTTTGGTTGGTTTCGGCTCATCTCGGAAGCGTATAGGTCACGCTCGATTGCTGCTTTGTTTTGGGATCGTAACTACAAATCCAAGTTTCGTCACCTGTTACTATGGCCCACACCAGATTTGGCCCCCTTCGTT